AGACCCAGCTCTCTGGCTGTCCTGGCTCACTCGGCCTCTTTTTTGCAGCTCCTCACGCATGGGCCCATTTCTGGCCTCTAGATGAGGTTCTTCTAGCAACCTGAACTATCTCACTCTTCTGAGAATTACAGAATCCCTCCAGTCCCCTAGACTCGCTAGTTGCCCTTCTCTGCAGACTTGCTCAGTTGTCTCAACTCTTCCAGTCCTGTGGGTAAGGAACCCACTCAAAATGCAGTCTTGTCTCCTGAGTGGGTCACCTCTCCTGGTTGCACCACACACCTCTCCAAGCATGGCACACACCTATCTCTACATAAGGGCCCTGAGCTGTGGCTAGCTCCTGGATTATACTGAATATGCACACCTGTGCACTCACATACCCTACAGGTCTCTGGTAAGACCTTGAGGCTCTGTTTTGTGATTGCAGTGCAATTTATTAAGCAACAATAGCAGCAGAACCGTACTGCTTTTTCAGGTGTCATTAAAATGAATGGCAGCTGAACAAGCCATTCCACGATTTGTCATTATAGCACAGTGCTTTGAAGCCATGGGCAGAATTGCGGTCATTCTGCTGGCAATTCAGAATGCCCATATGTGAGCGGAGCCTAACACAGGATCGAAGGCTTTGTCTTCATATATTATAAATATAATAGCTATTTTAAAACAATACACGTAAATGACAGGTTAAAAGTAAGAGAATCTCAAAAACAAAAAGATTTAGTTCAGTTTTGTATTAATTTAGAATGTTAAGAAGGACATCATACCAGTGGTCATGTGACCACTTCAAAATACTATGTTTTTTTTTCTTTGTAAAATGCTATTGTTCGGATGAGTTGTTCATACTGCACTACAATATAAAAGTGGATGGTATTCTTCCCATCAACTTAAAGTTTACAGAGCAGTGACTCCTCCCATTTATTCTACAATAGGGTTCAGTTGAAGACTCAATATAGTCCTTTTATTGGAGGCAACATGCGCTTTAAGCTTTTGATCTTGGTGCAAGCCAAAAATGCAGTATAACCAAACTTCAGCTGGAGAATGAGTTCTAATGGATCCTAAAGGTTTGACATTTTTTTTATAAAAATGTGATTTTTATTAAATTTATGGGGCTCTGCAGATTTACTGCCTTTGAAATTCATATGTACAGTATATGTATATGTACAGTATGCAAACCTTGGGGAGGAGAAGTGGGAACATCATGCTCTCCACCTCACCAATCAGAGAATGCTTTGCATTCATTAAGAAAATGCAAAAGCATTCTCTAAATGGCACCCATGCCAGTCTGCCGGCCTCCTGTGTTCAGACTGCAGCAAGCCATGTTTTCAGCATGGGACCCAGAAGCCAGTGAAGATCACTGGAGTAGCAAGATTTACTTCCGTGATTTCCAGCTTTCAGGGGCATTAGTCAGGTATGGTAAATAGATTGCCTTGAAAAAGTATTCATACCCCTTGAAATTTTCCACATATTGTCATGTTACAATCAAAAATATAAATGCATTTTATTGAGATTGTATGTGTTGGTCACACAAAGTGGCACATAATTGTGAAGTGGAAGGAAAATGATAAATGGTTTCAAATATTTTTAAAAATAAATATCTGAAAAGTGTGGGGTGCATTTGTATTCAGACCCCCAAGGTCAATAATTTGTAGGACCCCCTTTCAGTGCAATTACAGCTGCAAGTCTTTTTGGGGATGTCTCTACCAGCTTTGCATCTCTAGAGAGGGACATTTCTGCCCATTCTTCTTTGCAGAATAGCTCAAGCTCTGTCAGATTGGATGGAGAGTGTCTGTGAACAGCAATTTTCAAGTCTTGCCACAGACTCTCAATTGGATTTAGATCTGGACTGTGACTGGGCCATTCTAACACATGAATATGCTTTGATCTAAACCATTCCATTGTAGCTCTGGCTGGATGTTTCAGGTCGTTGTCCTGCTGGAAGGGGAACCTCCACCCCAGTCTCACGTCTTTTGCAGACTCTAACAGGTTTCTTCTAAGATTGCCCTGTATTTGGCTCCATCCATCTTCCCATCAACTCTGACCAGCTTCTCTGTCCCTGCTGAAGAAAAGCATCCCCAAAACATGATGCTGCCACCACCATGTTTCACGGTGGGGATGTGTGTTCAGGGTGATGTGCAGTGTTAGTTTTCCGCCACATATAGTATTTTGCTTTTAGGCCAAAAAGTTAATTTTAGTCTCATCTGACCAGAGCACCTTCGTCTACATGATTACCTTCGTTAAATTACACACAGGTGGACTCTATTTACTAATTAGGTGACTTCTGAAGGCAATTGGTTCCACTAGATTTTAGTTAGGGGTATCTGAGTAAAGGGGGCTGAATACAAATGCACGCTGCACTTTTCAAATATTTATCTGAAAAAAAAATATTTGAAAACCATTTATCATTTTCCTTCCACTTCACAAATATGTGCCATTTTATGTTGGTTTATCACATAAAATCCCAATAAAATACATTTACATTATTGATAGTAAGATGACAAAATGTGGAAAATTTCAGGGGTATGAATACTTTTTCAAGGCATTTTAGTTGTCACTAGAGCTAGTCTTGGGTGACAACCCACAATGTGGGAATTTCCGTCACTTTCATTTTCGGTGGTAACAGTACACAGGACAAATGGGAAGGGGGGAATCTCCCTAATGGGCAAACAAACAATAATAAAAACCTGACAGGTGTTCTAATGCCTCTCCTGGTGCCGGGAATAGTGGTGATGTAATTACCCAAATATTGCAGTGCCCAAATTTGGGAAATGGATGGGCAAAGCCTGATGGGGAATTGAGAGACTAGTTCTTCCTTAGGTCCTTTTAAGGCTGGTCATAGAGACCAACAGATTCCACCACCCACTCAAGTGGCACACAGCTGTGCCTTTGTATTCCGAAACCAGCCCATTGGCTGCTGCTGATCGAGAAAAAATTTCCAACCAGCCTGTTCAGCAGAAGTCATTCATGAGGTTGGGGGCACACATGGATCGAAATTTGGCTGGTCCCTGCCGAACTGGCCAAATTTGATGCATTAATGGCCAGTTTTTCATTTGGTTGATAGCACGCACCAGCAAGCAGATTCAAAATGTTCTGTTGACCCAACAATTGACTATGAATCCACTCACCGCCGTGAGCTGTCAATCAAAGGCCAGGTGGACCTAATGTAGAACTAGTCTCTCAGTTCCCCATAAGACTCCACACACCCTACTACAAACTTCCTCCGCCATACACATGTCAGTATGATGTGTGCGTGGCCGGCGAGGTCAGTGTTAGGATATGGATTGCATGCTGGTGGCACTGTGGTTCCATGGGCAGAGGGTTGCAATTCCAGTGTCCACCAGCGGGTGTCCCCTAGCAGCCAGCAAATCCCAGTAATCAGTTTCTACCTGATGCTGGCTGCTGGGAGAGGATTTAGGTCCTCCCTTATCAGTCCCCCTCGCTCCAGTGTTTTGCTGTTGGCATTTATCCTGTTCCTGCTCCTCCCCTGTACCCATCTGCCTTGTACCTGCTCTCCCATGTTCCTGATCCTAGTTTTGTTTCTCCTTCTCATCTGCTTCCTGCACCTCCATTTTTCCCGTTGTTCTGTGTTCCCCATTTTGTATATATTGTATAAAGTTAGTTGATACTTAGACTTTCTGTTTGTTAGTTATCAGCTAGGTATTTTATCATTGGGTTTTTGGTTCACATATATTTTCATGATTGCTGTGTGCTGGTGTGTGGATGTTTTTTGTTTCACTGTAAATAAATCTCACTTAAAGCATACGCAGTCTGGTCGCAGTTTCCTGAGTGTAGCCACGCAGATCTGGCCATCTCTGCTGCTGATTCCTGAAAGTCGGGAGCACACTGAGGAAGGGAACATGTACAGCATATGAATTGGCCCGATAATGTTGGTGCAGTGGTCAATGAAATTCTAAAGGGTATCTACCACGCTATGAATTCCTCCCAATATCATAACAAAACCCTCACATTTTGCCATTTAGAGCCCATTCACTCCATATGTATTGGGCACCATTGGGCAACACATCACACCACCCCTACACAACACACACCAACGGGTGCACATAGAGCATAACACACTCCTGCTGGCATGAATAGGCCTTTAAAAGCAGTTCAGTGATGTTGTCAAGACTGAAATGATGTCAGTCCGCTGCAGGCAGGAGGAGGAATTTCCTCAGTCTCCTCTTTCCCAGTGATCAAATGGCAACATTGTAACTAGGAGAGAGGCTGCAGCATGGGTGATCTGTATCAGATATTTGTGAACACGACCAAGAATTGCATATGCATCAGGATTTTACACCTCTGAGCTGGCATCTCAGTCCAGGAAATGGATGGTGACCCTAGATGATGCCAGAACAAAGATGGTACCATCCTTCTGGAGAGAAAAGCAAATGAAAGCATTTTCAGGGGGAGTACTGTGATCCCAGTGTACTGCGGTCCGAACTCTATAATTTGAGAATCTCCCCAGCAGGGGTGGACTGACAACTCATGGGGCCCCCGGGCAATAGGGGATCATGGGGCCCCTGTGTCCTTGCCCACACTCAAAAAAGCCTATAAAAAAGGTACCAGGGGCATTTCATGGGGCCCCCTACTGACTCCGGGCCCTTGGGCAGTGCCCGAGTGCTCTAATGGTCAGTCCGCCCCTGCTCCCCAGCTGCAGAACATGTAGCAGTAGAAGGATTGAGCACAGATTTGCCTGGAGGGAACCCATGCCTCCTTAAAGGTACAGGAATGCCCTGGATACTCAGCAAAGGCACAGTGGCAACTAAACGTATCCAGTGCATCCCCTCACCAATTCACCAACTATACAAATAAATGGCAACCACCCCATCCTATAACTAGCCATTTGCAGCAAGGAGCACATGGAAAGGCAACATAAACCAAAAACAAACAAAAATTCCCAGCTCACTTACCAACTTGCCTGAAACTTGTTTTTTTGACGTGCGTTGCCTTTCCATGTGCTCCTTGCTGCAAAGGCTGGTTATAGGCTGGGGCAGGGGCGGACTGACCATTTGGAGGGCCCAGGGTCAGTAGGGGGCCCCATGAGATGCCCCTGGTACCTTTTTCATAGGCTTTTTTGAGTTTGGGCAAGGACACAGGGGCCCCATGATCCCCTATTGCCGGGGGCCCCATGAGTTGTCAGTCCGCCCCTGGGCTGAGGTGTTTGTATAGCTGGTGAATTGGTGCGGGGGTGCACATGATACCTTCAGCTGCCATTGGGCCTTTGCTGGGTCTCCAGTGTATATCTGTATTTTTATCTGTATTCCCATCAGAGTGCCCCTTTCCACAGTATGTACCCATTTGTGCCCTCTTAACATAACGTGCCCATCAGAGTACCCCTTAACATAAGATGCCCATCAGAGTACCCCTTAACATAAAAGATGCCCATCAGAGTACCCCTTAACATAAAAGATGCCCATCAGAGTGCTCCTTAACATAAAATGGGCCCATCAGAGTTCCCTTAACATAAAATGGGCCCATCAGAGTTACCATAACAAAATAAGGGGCATGCTGATAGGCGCATTTTATGTTAAGGGGCACTCTGATGGGTACATTTTATGTTAAGGGGGCACTATGATGGTCACATTTATATTAAGAGGCACTCTGATGGCATCTTTTATGTTAAGGAGCACTCTGATGGGTACATTTTATATTAAGGGACACTCTAATGGGTACATTTTATGTTACGGGTCACGCTGATGGGCACATTTATATTAAGGGGCACTCTGATGGGCACATTTATATTAAGGGGCACTCTGATGGCACATTTATATTAAGGGGCACCCCTGATGGACACATTTATATTAAGGGGAACTCTGATGGGCACATTTTATGTTAAGCGGCACTCTCATGGGCACATTCTATGTTGTGCCCATCAGAGTTCACCTTAACATTAAATGTGCCCATCAGCATGACCCTTTAACATTAAATGTACCCATCAGAGTGCCGATGTAAGACTACACCCTACCTTGGAGGGCAGACAGGAGCTGTGCCAGGATCCTTGCTGAAGGATACTTATGTACAGACAGGCAGCAGAAGCCAGAGAGACAGTGAGCTGCAAGGGGTGGCGCACACATGATGTCATATTGCCGTGATGACCACTCTGCTCAGTGGCGGATCTGTCATTGTGGGCTGGCGGTCCAGAAGAAAGCACTCCTGGGACTGTTCTTGGACTGCGGTCCGCCATTTAGTGACCGTTGCACTAGAGTTTAGTTGGGGGTATCAGAGTAAAAGGGGCTGAATACAAATGCACCCCACACTTTTCAGATATTTAAGTGTCACAATTATGTGCCACTTTGTGTTGCTCTATCACATAAAATCCCAATAAAATACATTTTCGTTTTTGGTTGTAACATGACAAAATGTGGAAAAGTTCAAGGGGTATGAATACTTTTTCAAGGCACTGTACATAGTTACATTGGTCTAAGCTGGACCACTGTAACTCTGTATAAACTATTCATACCTGGAATTCTTCCTCAAAAACCCTTACATAACCCAGAGAAGTGACTGGCCTCAGGTGATACACAGAGATGACCCAGAATCTCTCAGCTGTGAAAAGCAGGGGGTGGGAAGCTAACCTTACATCAGTGAGGGGAGCTCTGAGAGCTGATTGGAGGGAAGGGATCCACACAACTCACAGAAACAAAGCTGAGGCTGTCCATCACAGACAGTGCCCTCCCGTGTCACCATTTTTCTTTTGGTGTCAGGAAAACTTGTCAGTAGTGATTCATGCTGACAGTAGAGGAATGAGGCAGCAGACAGAAATTATACTTTGTGCTCTGAATTGAGACAAGTACACACTATAGAGGAATATGTTTTGTTCATATTTCATGTCTGAGGTTTACAATCATTTTAAGGCATGCCATAAAATAACTTTCACATTTGATTGTACTTCCAACCCAACTGTCCAGCCATCAAATGGCTGGTGTCATAACAGATTATTATTATTATTATTATTATTATAATACAGTATTTATAAAGCGCCAATAGTTCGCTCAGCGCTGTACATTACAAAGGGGAACAGAATATGTGACAGAACAATACCAATACAATGCAAAACATGAGGGGATCGAGGGCCCTGCTCCTTGGAGCTTACAATCTAGGAGGGAGGGGATGGTGGCACAGGAGGAGATAGCTGTGGGGGATGGAGTGGTAGGAAGAGTGGAGGAGGTTGGCAAGTTAGCAGGGGGTGGGGTAGGCTTCCCTGAAGAGATGGGTTTTCAGGGTGCGCCTAAAGGAGAGGAGAGTAGATGATAATCTGATGGGTTGGGGCAGGGAGTTCCAGAGGATGGGTGACACCCTGGAGAAGTCCTGGAGGCGGGCATGGGAGGAGGAGACCAGGGAACTAGGGAGAAGGAGGTCTTGTGAGGAGCGGAGTGTGCGTGCCGGGTGGTACTTGGATATTACATGTGCAGCACCATAACAACTGCAGATCAAACAGAGGCTAAGATGGCAGCTTCCTTGGCTGTAAAGCATAGGAGGGTGTAGTGTTTCATTTAAATGCCAATGATTATCTGGACTTTACAAATATCCAAAGGAAACCTACATCACTACAGAGCTGTCAGTTAAAACAACATCAATTTTATAATTTTTTTTCTAAAATAAAATTGATGACCTTTTAACTGACAGCTACTGTATGTAGTTTTTTTTTTTTTTTGGTACTTTTAAAGTCCCTATAACCCTAGGCATTTATATTGCTCTTGTACTTTTTTAAGCACTCTTTACATTATTAATATTGTTATTTCCTAGAGTTCCTCCTTTGATTCTTTTGATAACAGCTGGATTTTCCTGTCCGGAATTCGGAATTTTGCAGCACTGAACATTATATTGACCTCTGAGTGGCAGGCAAATGAGTTTCCGCAGTTTTATGGCATCACATTAAGCGCAGACAATGATTATACGCTGCGAGCATACACACCCACCAACTTATTACAGCATCATAATTCCCCTGCCCTAATATTTGTTCGACTATAAATATCTTCCCCTAACTGCTTGCCTCTGGCGCTGTGAGATGTGATTGTTCGGCAGGTGAATGTACAGTTCCTTCTCTCGCTCTCCCTCCGGCTGCACTGCTAAATATTCATGAACATTACTTATTTTAATTTGTGGGCTGATCAAACATGCATATGTTTTATTAATTGCAATCAGTATCCAGGTGTTTGTGTTTGCTTTATCAAAACACCATTCACTAAATACATAGCCTAGCTTGTTTCAAGGGAAAATATTACCAAAAAATAAAAAAAATATAAATTGTAATATAGAGTGCTCTCTCATATGTACATTTTTATTTTAAATCAAATATATACAAAAAAATGTGGCAACCTAAAGGTGGGAATACACAATTAGAAAATCGACCGATCGGTCATCCAACAACCGCGAGGTATTCGTTCATTGGTCGAAATCGTGGCCCACATTAACCAATCTAAAAAAAATCGTTCATTGGGCAATACGTAGTGTTGACGTCTTCCATACAAGTGGAAGTGATGCAGTGTGCGTGTGACCTTGTAGCCACGCCCTTCCGGCCAGAACAAGCAATATACACAACATTTACCAGCAATGAGTATAATATAGTTTATTAAAGGCCTTGAAATTTCCACTCGCCTGCTCACCAATGGCAAGTGGAAATTATGGTGGGGGCAAGTGTGTCCCCCAGGGCCATCTTGCTGAGCAGGTTCGGAGTTCAGGACGGATCTGTCATTGGCACTGGGAGCCGTCAGACTGCTCAATAGCTGAGCGCAGTGAAAGCAAAGCAAGGAGTGTGTGTGCTGTGCTCTCTGCCTCCCCCTAGAGTGCAGTACCCGGCTCTGTGAGTGAACAACGAAGTACTGCAACTTTTTATTGGGCTGTGTGTGTGTGTGTGCCTCAGGGGAGAGGAGAGAGCACTTAACAGTGTGCGTGCGTGTGTTTGTGTATGCATGTACGTGGGTCTGTGTGTATTTACATGTGTGTATATGTACATGTGTCTGCGTGTATGTACATGTATGTGTGTGTGTACATGAGTCTGTGTGTATGTGTATGTGTGTTTGTTTTGTGTTGTATGTATGTATGTGTGTCTGTGTGTACATGTGTCTGTGTATGTATGTACATGTGTTTACGTGTATGTACATGTGTCTGTGCGTGTGTATTTCTGTGTATGTACATGTATCTGTGTGTATGCGTTTCTGTACGTGCCTGTGTGTGTATACATGTGTCTGTATGTGTGTGTGTGTGTATGTACATGTGTCTCTGTGCGTGTGTGTACATGTTTCTGTGTGTGTGTGTGCATGTACATGTCTGTGTGTGTGTAGAGGGGTCTCTGTTTGTGTGTGTTTGTTGGTGGCGAGTAACTCTTTAAGGCCTGACTAGTAGCTCAGGACTTGAAATTTTAAGCCCTGGTTTATTACATTATCGATATACATAAATAATGATTCATAAAATATAATAATGTATAATTTTGGTTTCATTAACTCATTAGGACAATCTACTTTTAACATTTGGATTTTTCGTTCGCGTTTCTGAAGATTCCTTGGACATAAACATCCGAGTCATCTTCTGTTTCTGCTCATGCGTAATAGCGCTCGATACATTTTTTTTATTGTACAACCGTCATACCACTACATAGAAAATCGGTCGTTCGTATGCGAAATGACAACATATTTCACCGTTGTTCAACCAGAGTTTTTTTGTTCACAATATCGTTATCGGTTAAAACATCCTGCTCATCAACAAAGAGAAAATCGTTCAATCAGTGGTTCCGCAAATTTTTTCATATACGATTTTCTTATCGTGTGTACGGGGCATTAGCGCAGTCTAATGTTAAAAAGCAATCAGTAAGAATAAACTTTTGGCACATACATTACAGTGATGGCCTAAAATATTGGCACCCCTGCATTTATGTCTCACAATGCACCACTTCGCCAAAAAAATTGTTGCAATTACAAATGTTTCATCATTCTCATGCTTATTTCTTTTGCTTGTATTGGTATGACACAAAAAAGTGGAGAAATAAAAAGCCAAATCTGACACATTGCACACAAAACAGCAAAAATGGACTGGACAAAATGATTGGCACCTTCTCAAAATTGTAAGAAATTATCGCATTCCAAGTTTTTGATGCTCCTGTAATT